GGAGAGATGACATGTCCTGACTTTTCACCTTTTGCCAGCTCCCACTCTAGTTTTGAGCATTTTGCCATTCATTCCTATGGGACCAATTTTGCCTCAAGAACGACGATATTCTGTGAACCATTCGGCGAAACCTTCCACAAAGTAATAGCAATCCAATCGGGAACAATCCTCACGTTTCGGTATATTACAGTCTATGTAGTTTAAAAACTCTGGGAGAAGTTAGGGTGGTAAATTTGCCTATAATAAGAATAATATATGTGAGATAACATTAAGTGGTCTTGCTATGCAATAACACTTAACTAGAAAAGCTACAATTTCTGGGGAAATTGTGTGAAGTGTTCTTGCCTCCACCAGTAGTCTGCAACTGGAGTGGGCGGAGTAACTGGGTGGAGTGGCTTGAGTAACTGTTGTGTGGCTGGAGTAACTGTGGAAAGGTTAGACTGGGCAGAGTAACTGTGAGGAGTGTTTGGAGTGAGTAAAGATAGTAAACATTACACTAACCAATTGATCAAATTTAAAAAGTGCACATGGCAAGCTTGATAGAGTGAGAAATGCATTTCAACTTTTATTTATTTATATAGCTCATTTAATTGCAACGTTGTTGCCCAAAGTGCTTCATAGTTACATTAACCCATTAAGGACCAAACTTCTGGAATAAAAGGGAATCATGACATGTCACACATGTCATGTGTCCTTAAGGGGTTAAAACATACATTTATAAAAACATTAGCAGGTGTACAAAAGGCCCTGTCTATGACATCACTTGCTGCTGCAGCCTGGCACAGGTCAGAGTATTTTGGCGGTTGCCATCTTCAAACGGTCGTATTTTAAAAACTATGATTCTCACAATGTAAAGCTGTGGGATTTAAAGACCCAGACCTACATTTTGACGCATAGTATGTCTGAAGTATTAACAATGAAGGTACAGTCGCAGTTTAGAAATTGCCCTTCAAATTTGAGCTAGCTAGAGTGGAGTTTCAATGAATGGCAATAGACGGCGTGAGTTGCAAACAAATGGTCATATTGTGAAAACTATCAGGACTATGGCTTAGCCGTGGACATTTTTAGTGGCAGCAAGGATAGCTGAACGTTTTGATATAAGATTTGTGTAGGTGGGCTTGAAAATGAGGGAGTGGTGGCAGTTTAGAAATCATGTCCTGATTTTTCAGCTTTTGCCAGCGCCCACTCTAGTTTTGAACATTTTGCCATTCATTCCTATGGGACCAATTTCGCCACAAGAACGACGATATTCCGTGAACCATTCGGTGAAACGTTCCACAAAGTAATAGCAATCCAATCAGGAACAATCCGCACGTTTAGGTATATTACTGTCTATGTAGTGTAAAAACTGTGGGAGGAGTTAGGGTGGTAATTTTGCCTATAATAAGAATAATATATATGTGAGATAACATTAAGTGGTCTTGCTATGCAAGAACACTTAACAAGGAATTCGGTTTACAGGCCACTCTATTCACCATGACTACCCCGGTGATTTGCTTTAAAATATATGAAAACGGCAAACCCTGCACACAAGTACTGCATATATGTTCTGGCCTTCCACCAAGGAGGTGCTATGTGGTAAGGATGGACACCGCTGAATCCACCAATATAGTCTCAAAGGCTGAAGGACACAGGCAACACTCCAGGATCAAGAATGTTAGTTTATTAGTGGGTTCACTTCATTTTGTGAGGTGGTGTACCCCCTAATATCCCTTAACTTACCTTCTTGATTCTGGAGTGTTGTCTGTGTCCTTCAGCATTTGTTGCTGTAAAATACTGACCATACAGCAGCTTCTAGAGCTCTGCAGAAGGAATGTGACGATTATGTGTGGGGTGGAGACTGATGGGGCATATGGACAGTAGTGGAGATGAATTAAATATAAAACAATGTAATTAAAAAACTGAACTCAAGTTTATTTCCCCCTCCCTGAGGCATACCTTTGGCCAGGGAGGGTGGAAATCTGAATACCTGGTGGTTCGGTGGGAGAATTATCTTGTCTGCACTCTGAGTGGGTGTAGACAAATCTTTCTGGTGTTCTGTCAGATTCAGTTTCCTATCAGAATGAGTTTCCCTTCACAACTCCTCCTCCCTCGGGATCCCTGTGTCTGAAAAGGCTGCTGGGCGAGGTTCTGCAAAGTGAGTAAAGTTACTGCCACACTTGGCTTACAGTTAGGTGCTTCACTGCAGGCTGCAGCACTGGGACATTGAACATTTAGGGTGAAAGTGAGGGTTAACATTTGGGTTAGATTTCTGATAATTAAGAATTGAGGAAGGTTTAACTTGTTTCTAACCCTAATTTTAACCTTCACTGTAACCCTGAATGTCTCACGTCCAAGTGCTGCAGTAAAGCCGTTAAATGTAAGCTATGTGTTACAGTAACTTTACTCACCTTGCATTATGTCGTTGGGCAGTCTTTTTTAGACACAGGGATCCCAAGGGAGCAGGAGTTTTGATGATTGGCAAGCTGTAAGAGGAAACTGAACCTGACAAAGCACCGGCCAGCGTTGAGGAATGTAGCAAAGCGTTGGCATGGTAACGTGCTGCAAGGCTCTGCTATAGTGGAAGGAGTGAGACCAAGCTCTCCCTCCTTCTCCTCAGCATCCGGGCAACTGTGGATACTTTTTGATGGATACCAATGGCCATCATAGCCCACCAGGCGTTTGCCCGATTGCCACTCCGGCCCTGGATGGGAGAGCACAAAACACCATACTTGGAGATTGTTAGACATATCAGAGCAGCTGAATGACAAAGCTTCAAATTAATCAATACATAAACAATTGTGTGGATTCTTTTCATATTTCTCCTCCCTTTATCTGAACTCGATGCTCTGTTTTTTTAAGAATTCACGTTCACAGACAAGATAGTTTGAATATATATATATATATATATATATATATATATATATATATATATATATATTCATGACGATACTTCTGATCTTAAAAAGCACATGAATTAAAGGTTAATTTCTTAATCTTAAAACCACTATTTATTGTGTTCCATGTACCTGGGTGAAAGTGGAGGTTAATGAATGGTGGATCTTGTGTTGGAAAACATATGTTTTGGTGGTGGTGCATGAAGGAATTCTTGCTAATTTCCCTCAACTTGTTGAATTAAAATTTTTGTATGTTTTAATTTTTTTACCCCCATAGAGATGCGTATATTCTAGCTGCTATCAACAGCTCTACAAGCTTCTTCTCGGGCTTTGTGGTCTTCTCGGTCTTGGGATTCATGGCATCTGAGCAAGGTGTTGACATATCCAAGGTTGCAGAGTCTGGTGAGTCCAGGAGATAAAGATTATAATGGAAATTCCCTGAAGAATTCCAAATCGTTATATGCTGATCAAGACCTTGTTTTACATTTTGTGAATGTTTGAGATTTCTTAGAGAAACACTGTAGTGTTAGGAATTCAACGCTAAAAGGTCCCTCTGCAACCACCACCCTTGCCGCACCCAAAGGGTTAACTAATACTTTAAACAATCCCCTTATTCCAATGCAAAGGTCCCTTGGTGCTTGCTCTGTGTCCGTCTCCTCTGATGTCAGCACAAGGGTAACTTAATGCACATGCGTGGCGTGCATCAGGCCTTCCCCATAGGAAAATAATGAATCAATGCTTTCATATAGTGATTTTGAAGATGCTCGTGGAAAAAGTTAAACTCTGTAAAACAGGAATCTCCTCCAGTGGTTGTCTTCTCTAAACCTGTAATGTTTTCAGCTGCAGGGTTAAAGGGACAGGTACACTGCACCCAGGCCACTTCAATTAGATGAAATGGTCTGGGTGTCTATAGTGTCCCTTTAAAATTGAAGGTAAAAACCTGAAGGTGAAAAGTGTGCGCTATTTCAATGCATTATAAGTATAATGCATTGAAAACAGAAACATAGAAATGTGACTGCAGATAAGAACCATTCGGCCCATCTAGTCTGCCCAAAACTCCGAAATACATTTTTTAAATTTTTTTTAATAGGAAAAAAATATATAATATAGATAAAAAAAAGATATAAACTTTTAAAGTGTTAATGTGAAAAGTAGTTGATCCACAAATAGCAGGTCCTGTTACCACTTAGGATAAGCAGAACTGTTGAGTAAACTGATAGCAGCCATATCACAACAACTTTATAAATATGTTTGTTCAATATGTTTGTTCCAGGTCCTGGATTGGCGTTCATTGCATACCCAAAAGCTGTGACTTTAATGCCATTCGCTCCGGTCTGGGCTGCACTGTTCTTCTTTATGCTATTGGTACTTGGTCTAGACAGCCAGGTAATTGGAAGAGATTGGGGAGGGAGTGGGGTAATCAAGTAATACTCACTTTACCAGCTGCGTCCAACTACAATTTGTATTTGCTCAAACTTAGAAAAAATAATTGGATTCATTCACTAGTGTTTGAATAATTGATAGGTGACAATGAAGTTGCAAATTTTAGTCAGTTTAGTAAAACTGAGAATTTACTCCAACTTACCTATATTGGTCTAAAATGTTGTATTCCTTTGCAAATTCAATTACTGTGTCAAAAAACAACCCCATGGTTGCCGTATAGCTATTGAAAGTGTGCTATATTGAGGTCTAACTCATTAGAAATGGTGGACTGTATATGTTTGTGATAAAATAATGCAGTTATAATTTAACTATGTTCTTTATTAGATTCTTCTTATGAAATTCTTGAACAGAGATGGCTAACCAGCGAAATCCAGATGTTTGTGAACTACATTTCCCTTGATGCTCTGCAAGCATTAGATTCTTAAAGATGGCAATGCGTTATGGAAAATGTAGTTAACAAACACCTGCAGTGCCAAGATCTTTAACCTAGATCTTTGAAAAGGGATGCCCGAACAGTCCTCAATGGCTATTATCGTACCAGTTTTACAAGATATTTTACTGGGAAAATTTTAAGTAAAATCTATTGGATTTTTTTTTGACCACTCCCAAATAACAAGAGTAAACCAGGAGATGCACCTGATTATTAACTTCTACTGACACTTTTAACATCATCATATTTGAGAATTTATTCTATAGTGTTTTACTATTAATGACAATGTTATTTACTTAGTTTCACTTAAATAAATTTAAAAAGAATTATTCCATAACAAGCGTTATAAAATTAAACATATACTTTTTTTTAAATAATGCACACCTAGGCATGTAGCATATTTTATATTTAGCAATAATAAAGAGACCATTTTTCTGTAAGGTACAATATGTTCTAAGACCATTTTGACTGATAGACAATCTAATATGTTCTGGAAGGATATTCAATAAAATTTAGAGGTAAAACAGTAGGCTTTATATGCTAGTGCCCTTAATGGGGTCATCCCTATACTTGTGCATATTAAAAATATTGCAAACTGTGAGTAGACTATATATGAATACTTGGAAGGAAGGGTCCAAGAATCACTATACTTGGACATAATCTCTGGTAGACATATTACACATAGTACAATTAATGTAGAAGGTGATTGACAGTTAATTAACCAAATGGCAGTGTTAATCATTGAGCAGCATTAAAATGACAGCCAGTTTTGTCTTTGGCCAATGAGGACTGGATTCGAGCAGACCTGACTTAGGAGAAATGTATGTTCTTGAAACCTCCAATTTTGTGTAATGTCTCTAAGTGTTGAGCAGGACTTGCCCTCTCCCCACCAGGAAAAGCTACCCTTTCTTCATCTTTCTCTTCTCTTACTTGGGGCCTCAAGCAGAGAAGATGTTGACATCATCATGAGGCTATGCCATGCAGGGCAGAGGTGGAGGAAAGAGGAGAGCCCAGCGGGCCAGCCTGTGTAATGGAGTTTCAGGGTGTAGACAATAACCATCCAGGTGAACATGGTTTAGGTGGTCTGAGTGGATACGTCCTGCTCACTAACTCATTGTAATCTTCCCTTCTATCTCTGAACAGTTTGTGGGGGTCGAGGGATTCATAACCGGGATTATGGATTTATTTCCTCACCCTATTAACGGCTTTGTGCGCAGGGAGGTCATCGCTGCACTCTGCTGCCTTGTTTGCTTCATTATAGACCTTTCCATGGTGACAGAGGTGAGCGAAAAATGCAATCATACCTAATGTAAAAAAATGTTTAAACTATGGGTGTAGGAACCAAGGGGGACAAATTTCCTTAGCTAATCTGGTGTAGTTTTATCATATGTTTCACTGTTTAAGAAATCTAAGAAAAGCCAAATATGTTGAGTCGATTATTCCATTCTGCTAACAGACTCCTTAGTAATAATATATTGTTTTGTCAGAATAAAACAGCACGGCTGGCATTATTATAAAAGGCTGTCCCTCTCCTGATATGCTTTGGTATCTGTGCCCATGTTTTACAATAAATAAAATAAATGTAGAGAGTGCTTCAGCTCTGGGAACTTTAGACTACATTTAAATGTTGGATCTCCAGTTAATGTTTCTTCTAAAAACATAATGTGTATAGAAAAAATTCTATAGACCAATCAAGAGGCCACAGTCACTAGTATGATATAATTACCAATTCCATAGGAGAGATTCTCATATGCAAAATAAAAACGGAGAGAAAATAATAGTGCCGTACTTTAATACAATAACCTTTTCACATAAAAACAACAAATGGAACTCCCACTTTGAACAGTGGCCTAAGTAAAATAATAAAATAAAATGTACCCTCTGAGCAATTTCATTGTGAATAGTCCAGCACTGAAACAGTTGAAAGGGCACTGTAACTGCATCAAATCCTTGAAGTGACTACAGTGTCTGGAGTCCTATGGCACCATTCTTCCATTTACTGGTTTTAATGCTATGCGAGAGTCCTCAGCAGCCCATCACCTACGTGCTGCTTGGTTAATGAGAAAGCATGAGCAGCAATGGCCGACTGTGATTGGTGGCTGAGAGTGTCAGTTGACAGCTATTGCTGGTATGAATTGGTATGGCTACAAGGAAGTGTATGTCTGCCTTTTCCATACCTAATTTTGGGTGGGTCTTTTGGAATCCAGTGACCCTAATTCAGTGATAACCTGCTTGAAAATGGTTTAACACTGAATGAAGGAAATTCAGGTTTTATAACTAATTCAAAGAGATAAAATTGGCATAGTGCTTTAAGAATAGATTTTTGTTTTTGGGTGATGTACACTACAAGGTATGGCTATATAATGATCAATGTGTTATCATTTCAGTGCTCGACCACTTAGAATTCAGAGGCTACATCTTCTCCATTGATACTTTTTATTTTTTTATTTTTTTTATCATTGAAACATTTCATTAAATATTAACAAGCAGCAAGAGGATTAATAAGGCCTCATTAAAAAGCATGTTTTTATGAATGATGGTTGAGGTATTTTCAGGTCAAAAAGAAATAACCTGTATTGATGTTTAGTGCCTTCTCTACAGAACATATTTGGGGAAATAATTTTCTGAAATTTGTCATTATAGGGAGGGATGTACGTCTTCCAGCTTTTTGACTATTATTCGGCAAGTGGCATCACTTTGTTGTGGCAAGCGTTCTGGGAATGCGTGGTCATCGCATGGGTCTATGGTAAGTTCACTAGGACAACAATATGATAAATCTGATAAAAACATAATAGGAAGTGTAAAGAAGAAGGGTTGTAAATTTAGTATAATGCTTCAAATGACCAATTTTACTATTAACATGACGTAAAGTCATGATTTTATTAATGACAGAGGCGAGTATTATGCTATTCTTTCTTTACTTTCCTCAGCGGCAAAGAACAAAATGAGAAAACAAACACATGACAGAGTTAACAATATGCTTATTAACACATCAACCAATCACAAACATGCATAACCCAAAGAGGATGCATAGGCATCAATAAAGGAATCAACGAACAGAATCCAACACAGAAAATTCTCCAAGGATCACAAATTTAACCAAATGAAGGTGTGTCAAGCTAAAAGAGGAAAGAAAATGTGGTAATATAAAACAATCATCTGTCAAATCTATCATAAAACAGTAATAGTCATGACATTTTATCATAACAATACTAATCATACAAGAATAAATGATGACATATCAATCGAAAATTCAGGAAAACATCAAAACAAAATTCCCTAGAAACATATTAAAGCATCCAAATGATATGCCTAAATTGCAGCAATTGAACAACTTACCAAAGCCATGAATGCCAAACCTAAACCATGAAACAGAAGTCAAAAGGGGAAGGTAAGGAATTAAACTTGCCTCCATGTCATCAATAAGATTATGTCTTTTTGTCATGTTAATTGTAAAATCTAGGAATTTTAATAAGACATTGAGGCTCCTTTTATGCTAGTTCAAAGCTGAGCTACAATTTGGTTTGAAAACTGACTAAGCGGATGAAAATAAAAATCACGGAAAGTCGATTCCCAAGACAAATCCACTCATATCATCTTCAAAAAACATCTCAATAATGAAGCTTTTTAAGCCATGACACCTTTAACAGAATGAAAAGCAAAAATAGCAGGTGTAGAATCTGGAATGAGGTTTCCAAAAGGAAATAGAGGAGAGAATCATTCTTCATATGCCTTCAGACGCAAAAACAGAACAAAGATTAGGCCGTTCCAGAAAAGATCGGTAAAAAACAGATTTGTGTGACGAGATATCAAATCTAACTTCTTCCAGAACAAAAGACATACCAATCCAATGCCCGCAAATCAAAAACTTGTTTTCAAAATATCAAACAAAGAGGCAGACAATTGTTTCAAAGTGAGATCAGAGTTTGGATGACAAGACTCTATAAAATTCAGGACCACATTAGCATCCCAAAAGGTTGAATATCGTGAGGTAGGAGGTCTATAAAAACCAATGCCTTTAAGATGCTGATAGGCAAAGGGAAGAGGACCAACTGAGCCATCAAAACTTTTGACTGGCTGAAATAGCCAATCTATAGAGATGGACCATTCAATAAGATCTACCACCCTCAGAGATGAGTGAGGAAGTGGAGGACTGCATTCAAAGGAGTTGATATGGGATCTGAGTAACCAACTAGACCAGGCACGCCAAGCTGATCGGGTAAAGCATCTGGAGAACCACAGAAAAGCAAACCTGGTCAGATAATCCAGACCAGGGGATGAGCTCACAGGAAAAAGATAAATAAATAAACAATATAACATATGTGCAGGAAAAAGAGGATAAGAACTGATACTAAAATGGTCTGATCAAGCAGCAAAGGAAGATGGTTTGCTGGATTGTCATGCATGTTATAGACTAGGCTTGTTTGTGATTGATTTATTATTAGGAATATTGCTAACTTTTTCATGTATTTTCCTCATATTTTTCTTTATTGCTGAGTTAAGTAAAGAGATATATTTTAAAGGAACACTGTCAGATGGAATTGTTTTATAAAAATCTGTGTAAAATATTTTCATCAGATTATCATTATTTTAATGTAATTAAGGTACCATACATTTAAGTGTAATAAACACTTCTGCCAATTTCATGTGGACAGGTTTTCACTGTGGAAGTGGCCATTTTGAAAAATCCCACCAAAATTGTCAGTTACAGTTACTAATAAAAAACAAAAGATGCTTCAAAGATCATATGAAGTATGCTAAATGCAAAATAAATATGCTTATCACTAGGTCAGATATCATAAATGGTCTTTGTTTAAAGGGACACTGTATGTACTAGAATTGCTTCATCTCCTAGATTAAAGTGTCTTGATTCCTTTTGCTAAACCGGAGTCTGTCTGTCTGCTGCTTGGGCTACTTAGGAAGCATAAGGCTGAAAAGCAATGGGTAGCTGTGATTGGCTAAGAGTGTCAGCTCATCACTTTCAGCCTGTCACTGTGCCCATTATTGGTATGACTAGAATGAAGTGTGATCTCTGCCTTATCCATACCTCCTGTAGGGTCCAGAGTGTGGGTGGCCAGGGATCCTAATTTATCTACTGGCACTATAACCAGTTTAATGAAAAATAATGGCTAGAATACCTACAGTGTCACTTTAATTGTAAAGGTTTGTATAAGAAGCATTAATGTGTGTAATAAAAAAAAAAAAAATGTCACCTTAAAGGAACATTATAGTGTTAGGAATACAAATGTGTATTCCTAACATTTTAGTGCCATGTTAGCAATTGAGGTGCCTGCCTCCCCCTCCTGTAATTTGTTAAAAATCATTATTACTTACATCTTCACTCGCTGCTCTGGTCTCCTTGGTTGAGATCATTGGGATCTCAGCAAATCCTATGTTTTCCCATAGATTACTAATATCCCTAATCTAATATCTGACACTTCATGGTTCTGTGAATATCCTTGTTGTTGTGCAAGCATTTAAATAAAGAATAATAAATGTCCCTAAAAGGAACACTCCACTTGTAAAACAGTACCCCCTATGTACAGGTTTTATGGCGTTTTGGGAAGTTACAGGGTCAAATATAGCATGTTACATTTGAAATTGAAATTCGCCAGATTGGTTACGTTGCCTTTGTACTGTATAGTAGCCCAGGAATCAAATTTACACTCATTGCATACCATTTGCAATAGTAGACAACCCAAGGTATTGCAAATGGGGTACGTCCAGTCTTTTTTTTAGTAGCCATTTGGTCACAAACCCTGGACAAAGTTAGCGCCGGCGACCGGGTAAGTAAAAAAACAAAAAAACGGAGGGCATACTATTATGTCCGGCGGTGTTTAGTGCAGCTTAAAATAGGGCGTAATAGTACGCCCTCCGGTCTTAAGGGGTTAAACAACAAGAAAGTAACAATACTGATTATCTGATTGACAGCCGAGCAGGTGTATCAAGTTCACTTATAAAAGTGCCAATTTCTAACTAAATCTGCACTTTTTCTAAACTGGAAAAGAGGACAAACTCTTCACTCATAAAACACTTAAGAAAGCTAAAGTGCTTTAGGTGTTTGAAGCGTTCCATTAAGTGTTCTTTTAAAGACTAATTTATAATGTAGGAATTGGGAACCTGATAAACCCAGTATGTTTTTCTTTGTCTTCACAAAGTGAGATGAGATCAAAGCAATCTTTTGTGCCAAGTGTAAAGGAATACATTCCAAACAAATTACACACAATGTTTGTTATAAAGGATGCTGGATACAAATAAACAGATTGATCATTAAAGTGATACATCTATCTCTCAGGTGCTGACAGATTTATGGATGACATTGCCCGGATGATTGGTTACCGCCCTCTCCCTTACATGAAATGGTGCTGGTCAGTGCTCACTCCTTTAGTCTGTGTGGTAAGGCTGTTTTACGTTTTCACTCTTAATCCTGTGTATGCAAGATAACCTTTTAGCAAATCTGTTTCAGTGGGGGTCATACCAGGCGGCACCAGGGCCCGTGAGCCTGAACAGGCTACTAAAGGGTACTGAGGACAAATTATCTTATTATTTTTATTGCTGTCACTTAAACAGAGGGTTACAAAATGTACTATATAGTCTGCATTTCCATCTTCGGAAACCTGGCTCTAATGTATGCAGGCTCAACTTATTAGACTGAAGGAGCACTCGTTTCCAGATATCAGCCGAATAAGTCTGCCCGTTTGGTAGAAAAGACAATATGTTCATAAGCAAAGACCACATAGCTCACCTTTCATGTTCCCTTTTAGTACCATCCATTTAAAATAAAGTCCTAATATGTTCCCCTACTCTCCCTTTGCTACTGATCCTCACTTGTACAGGGCCAAAATGATATCTCAGGCGATTATTGGTAAAGTATTCTCACATGACTCTGCCTCACCTTAAAAATCAAAGAGACTCTGGCCTATCAGGAGTCCTAGTGGAACTTCAGATATCTGCTAATGCAACCCGAGTGTTAATTGCAGGTGTGTAACTGCAGCCGGTTCCCCTATTTACCACTATAACGTCTTAAAGCATAGAGTTTAGCATTGCTAACCGTACAGATATCTTAGCCATAATATTATATAGTTAGTAAGAGTTCCTCTATTTAACATATATAAAAAAAATTGAGAGTACAATATGAAATAGGGATTGTCTTGGAAGCAATAAAGTTTTGTCTTTTTAAATATTTTATTAAATAAAAATATAAAAAACATATAAAACCTTAAAGGGACATTGTAGTCACTATAACCACTTTGTCTCTTTGAATTGGTTATAGTGCCTGGAGTGGTCTGGCACTGTCCCTCAGTGTTGCACCATGTTTGTGCAGTATGCAACAAAATAAGAGTCCCTGGCCACCCACAGTCCAGCCCCTTCTGTATGTGTAGCTAAGGCAGAGATTACACACTTCCTTGTTGTCATACCCATTCATACCGTCAGTTGGAGCTCTGACAGGTTAAAAGCAATCAGCTGACACACCCAGCCAATCACAGCTGCCCATTGCCCTCTCAGGGTAATACTTCCTTATTAGCCAAAGCAGCACAGAGGGGATAGACTGCTGTGGACATTAAAACTGAAAGAAATGCTGAAAGAAATGATGGTACCAGGGGACTCCAGACACTATATAACCAGTTTAATGAGATGAAGCAGATACAGTGCCTACGGTGTCCCTTTTAAAAATTTACAATAATTTATAGCAGAGTTTATAAGATTAAAGTATATGCTTGCAATATCAGTAAAATAGAATAACATACCCTCCTGAACATGTCAACCTCCCAGTCATGATAAAATGGAGCAGTGTCTGTCTCCAAAATCTCTCCTCTGTGTCCTAATATTAATAAGTACACATATTTATACCTTAGATTTTCAATTAGGTCATTTTAGGACCTACCTTAATTTGGCAAAGATACGAGGCCATAACTTGGTCATTTCACATGGAAACATCTTATCTATGTTTAGACAAAAACATAAGGGTGCACATGACATGGGAAATTCCCTGACTTGGGGCAAGATGGTGTCCTAAAGTCTGAATATGGATAAAAGGTCCTTTATTAAAGAAACTTTGTATGGAAAACAATGTTCCATTTCTAACATTGTCAGTTTGCAAAATCTTTTAAAGACAAAGTACACAGTTTAAGAAATACAAATTTTCATTCTAAAACTTGTAATATTTACATATGCCCATTGCAGATGGTGACGGACAACCGTCAATTTACACATTGCTGCAGTTAGAGAAAGTGATATCAGGTCACTCCCAGCACTTGTGAAAGGGAATCCGCACTGGAGTAGGGCAGCCCACACCAGCTATTGCAGCTCCTGCCCTTGACCTGTACCTGGCCATCCTGGTTCCCACTGGACCCCACGGAAGCCACCCACACTGCTAGATATACACAGAGCTGAAGAAGCCTCCTCCTCTTACAAAAAATATAAACCGCCCACACGAAAACACACACACACACAGTCCCCACATACACAACACCACTGACAATCCACATACACAAACAATCCCTCAAGCAGTTTCTCACATGCAATACCACAAACAGCCCCCCACACACAAAACACACTATGTGGCATATCATCTACAAACAAAATTCTACAAGCAGCCCACATTCATAGGTATTATACACAATACCACAAACTACTCATGAAAATATACAATGTAACAGCCCACAAGCGCACAAATGCAATGTTACAAAGCAACTGCAGCACCCATAAATAAAACAAGCAGAATACAACCGCATACACAAATAAATTTAAGTCCCTTGATGTGCCGGTCCTATTTTTTTTTTTTTTTTTTAAGATCTTTTCTTGACACAGTACTGCTAAAGGTTCCCTACCTCTGACCTAGCCTGTAGGATTTATTTTTGATCTGTTATCCATATAAAAACATGTATTGATGTTGATTTACAAAAGTCCAGTTTTCTTATGTATTGATTGACAAAATAATTATGCTTAAGGCACATCTGCTATGACTGTGTGAGACTTAATCTTTTTTTGTCAATGTATCTCCAGGGCATCTTTTTGTTTCATGTTGTCAATTACAAGCCGTTGACTTACAACAACTCCTACGTCTACCCCTGGTGGGGAGAAGCTATTGGCTGGGGTCTTGCGCTGGCCTCCATGTTGTGCATTCCTCTTACTGTTGTCATCAAACTGCTTCGATCTAAGGGTTCCCTGCGAGAGGTGAGATAGTGTTTGTTGTTTGTTCCTATACTGATATCATTAGTGAGTTAAATGATTTCCTTCTCATAAAGGTTAGAGAGGCTTATTCACTAAACTCTGAATTGCACGTAACTGAAATCCTAATGGCAAAATTTAGGAAAACCGTTAATTATGACAAATTCTCCAACTTGGCACTGTTTGGATATTTTAGCCTGAATTTCCCCGCTATTTGGATTTCACTTCAGAGTTCAGTGAATATTATATCTCAGCAGACATACATGTTACAGGCCTTCACAAATATATGTATTATTAAATGAAAATATATATGTTTGTATAAAACATGTGTTATATCCGTAAAACAAACATAGAGGTTTATTTCATCTATACTTAATATTTGGACAATATTGTCAAGCTGTAAAACTTCTCCATCCTTTTTTTATAGTTTGGCAATTTTGGTCTAAATTTCAAAGTTTTCTTTATCACTTCTCTGCAACTCCCATGTTATTCAATAAACTATTCAACTGGTATATGCTCGCCGACACACACAATTCAATTTAGTGACACATCAAATGTGTTATTAGGGTGAGCACTGAAAAAAATCATGTAATAGTAAATCTGAACTCTATATTTTAAAGTTGTGTACCATGACTGGTATATTTAAAAGGCATTTATTCTTACATGAAATTAGAGAATCCTGTTCTAGTTTGAAAATCATATCAATGAATCATGACTCACATGTATAGATTTGCAGACATGATGGAAAAATCATTACTTAATAATGAAATGTTTAGTCGCAGCACCTGGGGATTTGTCAAAAATTTTCTTCACTGTGTTTTTGCAGCGTTGGCACCTTTTAACCACCCCGGTGTGGGGTCACCACCATCTGGAATACCTCACTCCTGAGGCAGAAACCAAGCTACTCCCACCTGACTCCATGATTGCGCTCAGCAAAGAGAAAGCCATATTGTTTGAGACGGTGATCTGAGTGCCAACTGCATAGCCAGCTTGCTTCCTATACAATCTTTTTTTCTGTATTTTGTTCATGCATTGCTTCACCAAAAATGGGGCAGAGCTGAGGCAGTCAAATCAAGTGAAAGGGAAATATGACACATTCTTATCATGTATGTACGAACACTCTCCAACCTGTCCTTATTGCTATAGCATCTGGTGATAGGTGCATATGTAAAATAATTACCCGTTCCTTCACATACACAAAATAAGAGCCATTGAGAACTTAATTACAGATGGAATAAAGGTAATGCTGTCATTTAAACATTGTTTACAGCGTGAACCAGGAGCACAATACATACTGTATAGGATTTTTTTTAACATGTACTCAAATAGTCAGGCTTGAAGGCTTTGTAACAACCACATCCTGTGATTTCATTGTGTGGTTGTTATAAAGATTAATACCTTCATTGTTTTAATGCTGGTCAGCTGACTTTTTTTTTTTTTTTTGAGGGAACACTGAACTATAGATTGCAGGGAGGTTCCTTGGCAAAGTTCTTAATAGTGTGTCTTCTTCATTTCAAAAACCTACACAAAATTTCTTTAAAAAAACCAACCAACACATCGACCAGGGCGCAGTTTAAAGTCTAATATAAATGTAAAATGCAAGGTTTATTATATCCATGCTTAAGTATGTGGCCTATAAGTAAAAGCCTGCCTTTTATGGCTGTACTGTGGAGCTGACTCCATGTATTACGTCAACTAATGGAGTATTAAAGCAAATGCATTTCCCTGCCCACTTTCTGATGTCATACTCTAGTACCATATGCTGACGTAATACCAAAATATGCAGTAGTTAATTTGCACGTGGTGCTGTCAGAAAGGTAGGTGGAGCTTTAACACGTGAAAACTAACACAATGCATAGATTTTTATTTTTTTTTTGTCTGCTATACTTTTGTCCATAAGCACAGTTAATGCAAAAGTTCCTCAGACTTGTATTATTGATCTTTTTATCCTGCACCATACATGTTGACAGAGGTGCGAGTATTATTTTCATGCTATTAGCTGCACACAGCTTAGGTAGTTGACAGATGAAGCAGTCTGACTACTAGATAAACAACAAATTGGGGGGTTATCAAGTATACAAGCAACTTTTGCCAAGTGGTGACCTCCAATTCAGTTGAATTGTTTTTGGTTTTTTTCCTAAGTCTTGCATTTTGATCACAATTTAGCAAGTTGTTACTCATCAAGTCTGCTGAATTGTGAATTAAATCAATGGATTCTGCCAAAATGCTCGAAAAACAACGTAAGAACAACATATTAGAAGAACTGGTAGGTCAAGAATGCCTGCTTCTACCTAATCATGTCCTTCTACTTAACAAGAGCTTTAACCGAAGCAGGTCAATTATTGATTTTGATGAATATGAATTATCAAGAGTTTAGAGTGTATTCACTACATTGGGACATGTGGAAATAGCTTTTTTTTTTTTTTTTTTAATCTGAAAAAAGATGGATAATTTTTCCATCTTGACTAATTTGATAATATTTTTCAATTCTCCACTTTTGGATACGTTTGTCCAACTGTCTAAGTACTTAATATTTATCATTAAAATCAAAGAATTTGAGAAAGATTGGGAGCATATTTTTTTGAATTTACTTATTCTCCCATATACTATTATTTCTTGGTACTAATACTATAATATCCTTTTTATGTTATGATAAATACATAATAGTATTTTACGATCAGTATTTTACAACGCCACAATTCCCAATCCAGTGTATAAAGCCTCTTTGTTTTAAAACATCTCTAAACTGTAACATCATATTGTAGATGTTCAGTTCAGATGGATCCTCTAGTGTTGATGTTACAGAATAACCAAATGGTTTTCTGGAATTTTAAGACACAGAAATATTAGGAATCAAGTGCAGTATCGTGGGAGTTTTAACCACAGATGGAGTTACAAATCTGGTCGATATCCGTTCCGAAGAAAATGTAGCTTTTTTTTTTTTTGTTCCACCAATTTTTCTAGTTTGTGAAATCCTTAACTTTATTCATCCTAGTGGCATTGTATTGATAGTTTTCATACCTAGAAAAATAAAACCTCAACCTATGTGTGCAATTTATGTATTTACAAATGCACACATGAAGAGAAAAATCCTAGCTATAAATCCACACACATATAATCATTAGTTCCATTCAGCTGTATAGGTGTGTTTCTAGGTACCACCATGTGAGGGCAGTAGTAAGGCTTTAATTGAGTCTCAAATTCAATTGCGTAGCTCAGAGTGCTTAATGACGACTAATTAGTCTGGTTCTGCAACCTAAAGCTCTGATGCTCTTAGGACAATTATAATATTATTTATAAAGCACCAACAAATTCCATAACGCTGTACAATAGGTGGACTAACAGACATGTAATTGCAACAAGACTAGCTGGACACACAGGAACAGAGGGTGTTGCGAGACCTGCTCAAACGAGTTCACATTCTTGAGGGATAATTACAGCCACCATCTAATATTTTTCAAATGACCATCCACTCAGTACCGACACTATAAAACAACTATTTGTCAAAATGGCTGGGATTACAAAATGGGCAGAGAATTATGAAATATACTGTAGTTAAATTTTTACATGTTTTGCTTTATGGAATATATTGGAACACTTTAGATAAGATAATTAATTCTAGTAACTACATTTATCTTCTATATTAGAGACAAGGTACAAATCTAATATGTTGTTCTTCAGATATTGTAGCATTTTAACTCCCATGATGCTCAGCTGGCCATAAGCTTTCCCCTAGATCCCAAGCCAGATACTATAGTCTTCTTCATACCTGTAACACTGCAGATCTGGGTATTAGCTATATTTAAGCAAAAGGAAATGGACAGGCAACTGTGTTCTGCCCTTTTAATGTATAGCCCGGTAAAGTGTCCTTTTGTGGTTTTAATAAATAAAACTTCCAGATCAGATTACATGGCCCTGAAGATGCTCTTTTAAGATTGTCTAAAAAAAAAATCTATAGTCCCTATATAGTTCATATTCATACCTGGTAAATAAAGGTCAGCTTGGCTAAAGAGATTGTCATCTCTTATGGGGTCAGAGAAGGTTGTCGACAAGTTAAAAGGGGAACAGTCACTTTCCAGGATTTATAATAATTGATTTACGTGTCCCTGCATTTAACAAACTTGTATTTGTGAGGTGTGAAAAATAAAATATATAGAAATCCACTCCTCTTTCTCCTGCAACTGGGTGCCTCCATTTTGGCTCCATGTCAACCATTATTATAAAGTATGCCCATGGCACCTGGCAGTCAACATGGATAATGTATACAGAGAAGAGAAGGAATGAAGCAATGTGCTCATGTTTTGCTTAGACTGAACTGGATTGCGATGCAATTTGCTAATTATTTAAAATAAAATTATTAGTCATCAGAGTTTCTCATTAAAAAAAGGTTATAAATAAATAAATTAGGTCCAGGCACTCAGGATTGCTGCAGGAAGGCAGGTTTATTGGAACAAAAAGTGCAACGTTTTGGCCTACACAGAGGCCTTCATCAAGCTATCACCTCAGTGTCACAGTACCCTATTTAAAGGGTGTCAACCATAACCACATTAACATAATATGTGCAAAATTAATCAATTAAATAAAAACAATCAGTCAATTATACATCACATTCATAAATATACACATTCCAGTGTAAAAACAGTACATTAGTAATTATTAAATTCATAATAAATTAAAAAGGAAAGAAACAAAAAAAGTAAAAGAGAAGGGAAAAATAATCAACATAGTTAAACAAGGGTAAGTGTAGCAATGGCCCCATACCTACATACACCTGAAAGGATTCCAAAGTAGGAAGGATTCCAAACTGAGCATACGGTACTCACACTTGGGAATCCAGGTTGACATGAGTTTAAGATGATTTTCAATGTTTTGTTCGTTGATGTTCATTTTTGCTAATTTAGTCCATCCTGGCCACGTTGCACCTTCCTTGGCCCTGGCAATTTCATAAACTACTCAATATGACCAACAACACAAAATGATCATTTGAAGTCATGTCAGAGGTGTCTGAGATTTGACAGTCGTCAGACAGCAGTGATAGAGTTAAACTGATAAAAAAAAAAAAAAACATTTATTTTTGAACGTAACAGAATAGAATAGTATTTTTGTAGGCATAGAGTTCTTAAACTGCAGTCTGTACCTTATATACTAATGTATATGTTAGCTGCCTTGAAAGATTCTATATCTGTATCACTATCTGCCAGGGAAGCAGGACTGATATGCCAGCTCCTGTTGGCGCACACTGCACCCCATTCTGCCAATCTCTCATACAGTTGATCTCTCCCTTTTCCCTATTTCTAGCTCGTCCTTGTCTCCTTTATATCTCATTATTTATCCCCTTAATTTCCTTTCTTTCTGCCTGCCTTTGACGTTCTTCTCTTTTCTTTTCTCCTCTCGTATTCCAATCCTTTTTCTTTCTCTTGTCCTCTTGTTCTCCACTGCACTCTCATTTTTCTCTCTCTCTCTCTCTTTTTTATTATTTATAATTTTTTATTTTTGTCATGCATCAAATAAACAAACAGCCTCATTACGCCACAACAGCAGTATCGAGGTATAGATACGTACAATTTGCATAACCAAGTGTGGTATTCAATAAACTGGCATATTTTTATTAATGAATGAAAAGTTGCAGTGTCGGCTTATTGTGGTCAAGGATGATTGGTATTTGAGTTACAGTTCTTATTTTAGATCTATATGGTTAAATGAAAAGTAAACGATTAAGATTAGATTATAACAGATATGTTAGGCATGAGAGCTGCAAACTAGGTGGGGATTGTTGCTGGATGTGGTGGGTATTCTAACTCCTTATGACTCATAGAGTACTAAAATAGTGTGTGCTGTGTCCCCTGTTGGCGCTGGCTAGTGTAATGTTACCTAATGGATCTGACGCTGGGTGTCCCCTGAACCTCTTCTATTTGTTAAGGCGTTTAGACCTAAGTTTATGTTAGGTCGTCCGTTTATGCAGGCCTGTATGCATGGGCAAATAAAAAATACTTCCCCGTGGTGTGCGGGCATATAGGCAGGTGAGAGCCCTAGAGTAGGCTTTTTTCTGGGTAAGATCGCCTATGCTATTATGGGTGCCCGTCTACACATGCCAGTGCTGGTCGCCCGGTTATTGTGGAAAAATAACATAGGTGAGCTTGCTATTCAGCTCGTCGGGTGCAATGTGCGCCTTATGTGCATTGCTTTCGTAAGGCCATATAGTTATAAGGGTAAAGGTGGGAATATACACTGTTCGTGTCCATTTACCGGACTGCTGTCTGCGGTGGGAGGTAGGGGGGGTTATGACAGTGTAGGGACTATACCTGTTAGTGGGCGTACAGTGCTCTCTCTTTCTTTTTGGTCTGTCACTCTCTCTGTTCATATCACTATTTCCTTCCTTTCTCTCCCCTCATTATCATTCTTTTTTTTCTCTCACTTTCATTTATCATTCCAATTCCTTCTGTTCTCTATCCTTTCTCTAATCTCACTCTCTATTCTGATCTCTGTAGTCTTTCTTCCTGCTCTTCTATTGTCTTCTCTCGCTCTACTTCTTCAGCTCTCATATATTTAATTGATCTCTCTCTCATATATATATATATATATATATATATATATATATACACCACTAAACATATATAAAACAGTACACATGGTAAAGAATTGGGGTATGTTGGGTGTGACATGTAGTGCCCCTATTCCATTATACAGGGATATGTTCTGCTCTTGTTCTATACCACAAAGCCAATTTGATTTGCTCTATATGTTGACTGTAGCATTGTGATAAAAGTCTCTTCTTGACTATGCATGTGAGCTATGTCACTTGAGACGGGAACTGTAATGTTTTGTAGATTTAGCTGTCCTGCAACTGCTGTATTATCATGCTTAAATGTCTAAAAAATATCCTACAGATGATGCAACCATTCACGCTTTCCAGATCCCAGAAGGGTACTTAATGCATTGTTCTGAAATGTGTTGCCCAACTTATTGCCCCATTGCTCTGTGTGTTTTTTACTGACAATGTCATTGTATTGTGAAAAAACCCTCAATGAAATTACAGGTGTTAATATATCTACTACCCCATCCAATAAGACATTTCACAAAGGGTGAAACATAACTATGGCTTTCACATAAAGGCAGGCCCAATGTTGGAGTTCCATAGGACCCTCATATAACAAGAGGGTACCTGGGGTTGGTGGTCTCATCATAAACAACAATGAGAGTCAGAACATCCTAGTAACTAATATAATGGACTTTCTCCTGCTGTTTTCTGCAATGTTAAACAACAGTGCTCTATTACTCAAGAGAGGGACCGTAAGAAGCCCCCTAACTCTTCCTATACCCTGTCTAATGTAGAGTTGATAAATTGTTTTGGTGAATGGAATTCCAAACTTCGTAACCTACATATGAAAGGACTAGTGGATATCCAACCCTCTGGTTACCTATACAATAGGGACCTATGTTCTATATAAATGTATGAACTACACTCCGACCTAAACCAAAGTCATTTGTCCAGTGATATTTCATGTTCTTGTTGGCTTTTCCCAATGGAAGCTCTCTATTGATGTAATGTACGATAATGTGCTAGATGCTTGTATTGGATCTAATTTCTAATCTTTTAGTAAAAAGCCTCCAAGGTCACATGATTAACCTTTCCACACTCACAAAGACAATATTAGTTCTAGTTTCTCTGATCTCTCTTCTGCCAGTGCCATGCCTCTACAAACTATGGATCTAATGAGCTGGAGTGGTGACCATTATTAAAAAAGAGAAAATAAAAATACAATCAGGATATAGTAATTTAATTAAAGTGCAATCCCTAGGCATCGGACACTTTCTAGGCATCGATCCACACTTCCCAAGCTTTGGCAATATGAAATTGTGGTGGGAAAGGGGAGGCTGGAGTTGGAGCATGCCACTGATTGGGGACTTCTGCTCTTGGACTGAACTTCCTATTGGTCCAAACTGGTAGAGGTCGTAACACAAGTCCCAATTACTAACTAGCACAAAGTTAGGTTGTTCTGCACTGACTGCTTTGATGCAACCGAAATGCCAGTAGGTGGCAGTGTAGAGCTAAGAAAAGTCAGGTTGGATTCAAATTTCAATATAGTTTTATATAATACGTCAGAAATGTTTCACCACAAACTGTACCTTGATAGCAAGAATTAGAGATGTGATAAAGAAATGTTAAAAATAGGGATGTAAGGTAAAGAGAGATTTACTTGTCTCTAATTGTCCCTTATTTCCCATGCACTTATACTTGTGATTTCATCATGAGAGGTGGAAATGGTTTATGTGGCTTGCAGTCCAATAACAACTGAGTTTATTTAGTAAACCAGGAAATTTGGAGAACTGACAAAAGAATGAAAAATGTCTGTATTTTTGCCAAAATACTGCTATTTTGTCATTCCTTTGTCACTTCACCACAATTTTCGGTTTTAGTGGATAAACCACTTCTTATTTCTCTATGGGTTATTCGCTAAACATGAAATATTAAATATTTCCTACAAACATAATAGTATTACATTTTTAGAATGTTGCCTAACACTGCAAATGTATTGAAATAGCTTAATTTTGGCCCAGTTCAGCAGTGAGTAATGGTTACAAAGAACATCTGATTGGATGAATGTTCTTTGTCATTATGTATTGTCATTTTCGATGACTTTTGTACCCTTCAGTCCTTTACATGAACATAGCTTGTGTGATAGTTTGCAACATCACAGCTGCCAAAACACCATGTAAAAGCTGTTGTCTGTATTAGCAGGGCCACTTTTACAGAACCTTGGGCACAATTCTATAGTGCCATTTTGTTAGGGGGAACTATGACAGGAAGTGGGTGTGTCTGACCACACCCACATCTACGATGTCCATGCTTGTTATGCATGTGCCCCACCTACAACATCTTCAAATTTAGCACTTGTAGCTTTTGTGCCTAGGGGTGCCTGCAATACAGACTGGGCCTGTTGTATTAGAATATATGTTATTTGTGTTCCAAAATCCTCTCCATGCAGAATCCTATGCTGCATCCCTGTAGTAAATAGTGTCTTGGCCCGGTCTACCTTCTTTCTTTGCCAGTGCAGGTGAAATCCACACTTTATGTTTTATGCCAACATAAAGTAAAGTATTTCTATAGGGTCATATTTTTATGAGTAGACATTAACTGTATAAAGATTATAAGAAAACATCGCAATAAAAGACTAACAAAGATCAACTGGGTACTGTGCATTTTTTTGTTATTTAAACAAATATTGGAAAATCTATTGTTAAAGAATAAAAATTTAAATTATGTCCTGTGTAAATTCAAAACCATTTTTATATTCACTAAATTAGAAATAGTGCAGAGTTATCAAGGGTTTGTTAATATTATTTGTGGTCAGGGCAATATTGCTGTGGTGGTAGCATAACACATGATTCGTATACAACAGCAGAACATAGATAATAACACCAGTCGGTTGTGGTGTGCCGGAACCGACAATGCAGTAGGCCTGTAATAAAGAGGGCCCACCTGAGAGGGTGATTTGAATAAAGGAAGTGGTGGGAGGGGTACCTCACCAGACCAACAATGGTAAAGTGGGAGAGGTTTGGCAGCCCTTATAAAGGGGACCCAAGCCCCTCCCACAACTACAAATTTAAATGCGTGTCAAAATGGCCAAACTGCAAAAAACATCAACATTTTCCACTTTTGACCTTAAGCCCTTCAGGACGTTAGTACTTTTTATGAAATAGATAATAGTGGGTTTTAAAACAAAAAGGAGAGCATGGAACGTCCTGCACTATTAAATCCTTGCTTAAACCTGGGAGACCCAGGTATCAATCAACCTGGATATGCTCTCTGCCTGAAAAGACCCCAATGGTGTCTTTCTGTATTTCCCCCTGCCAAGAGTGATTGATGCTGGGCTCTGCTTGCAGGGATAACATGCTTGAGCTGAAGCATGAGAAAGAGATGTCCCTCTCATGCTCTAATCACACAGTACAGAACACTCTGTACTATGCAAGCCGGAAAATCCCTCTTCTGATGTTAGTAGAGATGTCAGAGGTAACCACCATGCCTCCCTCTCCTTGGTGGCACATTGGTGAAAGCCCACATTCTTGGTGGGTGGTAGTGGAGGAGGTAACAGTGTGTCAGGCGTGTTAGGCAGCTATCAATCTCTTCTGCTACATGCTGAAGTGATGGACCAAAAGCATACTTCATCAAACATATTGTAGGCAATCAGACAACTAGTGTCAAATTGGTTGGGAGTCCAGTAAGACACCAATCTGCATGTTGGGTTTATGGTCACTAACCAAGCTGCTAACATGGTCAAAGCTCCGTGACAGGATTCCTTTGTAGGTGTTTGCTCTTTTGCATACATTGTACATCTTGTAGTGAAGGGTACAATTCACAAAGCCAACACAAAGGTGCAGACTCCACATGAACAATGAAGTATTATTGCCAGGTATTTCCACTGCAGTGTGACTGCTAGCCAACTATTTAGATAGGAGCAAGATAAAAGAGGGCTTCCTATACACAGTCTATGACAGGAAGTTAGCACAAGTTGGACACTTAAGATATGCTCCAAAGAATTTTAGAACAACAGAGGGCAATCCATAGCCTATCTTCCCACCACTCCATACCCCATTGACATTGACGCCGCATTGAGGCACTAGGATTAAGCAATAATACGTGTCAGTTCTTATTCCTTTTTGAATGTGACAGAAACATTGAGTTTTCAACAAGACATCCTTGTTGGATGCCTTCCTGGAAAACAGGGAATTAGTTCCTGGTGGCACACTCCGCACTAATGTAGCAGAAGGTATCTGAAATATTTACTCAATGCTCATCTGTGCGAATGAATAGCTAATTGCCCCAATTTGATGCTAGCCTCACTGTCTGATCCTAGGATTAAGGGTAAAGAGGTACTACAATTTACTACCATGGAGGTTTGGGTCATCACAGAAACTTAAAGGGATACTTCACTGCTCAAATAGAAAAAAATAAAATAAAATTACTGTTGAGTAGATATACTCTAAATTATAACATTAATGAAGTTAATTATTCATTGGGATATATCTAAAATCAGCAGTTTTCTTGTCTGCTGCCTTTGTAAGCCCTCCGATTCTAACCCCACACAGACTTTCTTTAGCTGTCCAATCACAGACTTCCCATTGCAACTCCACTGAGCTAAACAACCATGAAGTAACAAGACAAGTTGACTGATTTTTATAAGTGCCAAGTTCTACTGAAATCTGTACATTTTGTAATTTCTCCACTTAAAGTGCTTTAGTTGTCCAAAATGAATATAGTTTTTGTTTAGTACATTAAATAACTCCATACTGGAGCAGGGGACCCATGGTATTATTATGCTCTGGGGCCCAGGTGGCTGTCAGTCCGTCCCTGCCTATACTCCAGCCTCCATTTATCATTAAAACCTCTTTTCAATCTATACTATGTCCAGAAATGTTCACATGGAAAGCAGAGAAACTGTAATTTTGCTTCAAGCCAGCAGATGGCACCTTTTATCCTATAATGTGTTTTAAATACCATTTCATACATGGGATGTTTTAATGCCTTATTGGGTTGCTTATAGGGAACCTATAGTCCAGAAAATAGTTTTTCTTTTGGAATATAAATTGCATTTTCAAGTTCTGACATTTGTCCACCCCCATTACTGAAGCAATATTGAAGATTTATTTATTTTACCTACCTCATTTTGAGTGCCAAGACTCCTCCACTACAGCCACCTACTCCAGCAAGGTCTTCGTCAGCATGCCTGCTGATGTCTTCTGTGATCTCATCCAATCCAATGGTCCAATTGCAGAGAAACACATGCATGGTCAAATTCTGCTCTACTCCAATCAAATTCTACTATGAGCAGCATATGATTGAAGGCTTGAGTTTTACTTAGTTCTGGAAGCGGAAGGGCCTCTTGGAAAGAGATGTGTTTAAATCTTTAATGTAAGCATTGCTGTTTGTAAAAAATAGCAATGTTTTACTTGGGGGGGGTTAAAGGGGACACTAATAACTTTAGCTTAATGAAGCAGTTCTTGTATATAGATCATGCCGCTAAAGTCTCACTGCACAATTCTCTGCCATTTAGGAGTTAAATCACTTTTGTTTCTGTTTAGCCAGCCCAAGCCACACCTCCGCAGGCTATAACTCACACACAGCCTGCATGATTTTTTTTCCAATCAGATGTTAACTTGCTTTAGAAGTTTTTATCCCCTTCTCTGTAAATTGAACTTTAATCAAACATAGAAGGCTCCTGAAAGGTCTAGAAGATTATTAACACAGCAGGTGATAATATTCTAAATTAAGGATTCAGAATGTGCAATAAATAAAGTGGCACTGTCACTGTCTGTCAAATTTGCAAAGACCCCCAATGGTTACGTTGCCGCTGGTTGACCAGTGGCTGTGAGACGAGCAAGGGTGAGATTTACTTACTTGAACCTGCCCCTAGCAGGCGCAACAATCTTGATCTGGCAGGTCATCTTCAGCTTCAGTGACAGAAGCAAACATCACTGCTGCACTCTCGCACATGCGCAAGAGTACAGAATTGAGGTAAATGGAGGTTCCTGCAAGACCACGGGATCCTCCACAGAGACAGATAATTCCCTGCAGCCATCACTGGTGATGGCTCTCAGAATTGACATTTCGAATTTGCCCTGAATCTAAGAAGGCGATGAAGATATACAGAGATAAAGTAGTCCCTCTTGATTGAGTAGGAATTTTAGTGAAAAATTCTAACACAGACAAAATTAGTATTTTATAAAGATTCTATCTTAATGAATTATTAATTTTTTGGACAGGAGGGGATGGTGGCGTGCTGCTTTAAACAATCGATTTCAGGAAGACTGTGCACATGTAGGTAGGTGTAACTAAGGCTGTGTAAACAATGTGACTTAATTTCTAAATGACACATAATTGAGCAATGAGACTGCAGGGGCATGATTTATAAACCAATACCACTACATTATGCTAAAGTTGTTTTTGTGCCTATAGTGTCTCTTTAAAATCACATGACCTCTGCAACCAGACCACTTCAGTGACATAAAGTGGTCTGGGTGACTTTAGTAGTCCTTTTACTAATAAGAATTCATCACACTTCAAAATTGTGTTAGTCAGGGGAGGACTGGCAACTTTTTGCACACATCCAATCAAATTCCCAAAACTTTTTCATGTATGTACATGTGTGTGTGTGTGTGTGTATATATAAATAACCAGATATGGTTTTTGCTTCCCAGGCACCACCAAGCCTCAATAGCCAACCAGTAACCAACCTCATGCTGATGATTTGCATTAACAATGAAACAGCTGTCCATGAGTGGGTCACTGGCTTTGCTCCTCTTCCTGAGATGTGTTTCAAAGCTGTTGTATACAGCAAACCCAGACTCAAAGGAATCCATGTTTAAGATGGAATGAGACAAAAATGTGATTCTTTGTTAACCTAATTTGCATATGTCCACCAAGAATCCTTTGCAGTAGTAACATCAATTAAAAACACCTCACCTAGGCAAAAAAATTATGGGGCTTTAGTTACATTATATGATCAGATATTGCAAAAGCCTGCCACAACGTCAATGTACCCTATTCTTGGCAGGTCCCACTCTACCAGACTAATGCCTGCCTTTAAAACTATTACAATCTGTGAGATTTTAAATCATTGTTTAGTGAATAAGCGAGTGCGCTGGATTGTGTATTTTGTATGTTGTATATTTTGGCCCCAGCAGCACCCTATAATGTATGCATGTTCAGGTGAGTGCAGCCCTCTTGGTTTCATTTATATATATGGTACCCCGGTACGCTCGGCCATTCTACATGTTCAGTGGATAGCAGGTACAAAGGGCGACAGGAGGGACAGAGGAAATTGATACATGGAAGGACGGGGATGGGATTGAGACATATGAACGGGACTGGGGGGGGATTGAGACACATGGATGGAACTGGAAGGAGGTATTGAGACACATGCAATTGACAGGGGGAAGCTAAGGCACATGGAAGGAACTGGGGGGAATTGAGATACCCAGAAGGGACTGGAGGGGGACTGAGACACATGTAAGGGACTTGGGGGGGACTGCACACATGGAGAGACTCGGGAATTAACACATGGAAGGAACTTTGGGAAATTGACTCATGGAAGGAACTGGGGAGAATTGACACATGGAAGGGACCAGGGGAAAACTGAGACACATGAAGGGACTGGTGGGGATTGAGACACATGGAAGGAACTTTGG